GGCGCCCGCCGTTGCCCGCGGACAAAGCCGAGGGCAAAGTCGCGGGCTAGTGATGTCACACACATTAAATCAATTCTCAATCGAAGGTGGACACTTTTGGTAGGCGTTGTTTAACTCCTTAACATATAACGGAGGATGCTAAATGTAATTAATTTGTGACAGATTAGTTTTTATTACCTGATACAGTACTAAAACAGAAAATGGCTGACGCTTAGATGCACAGTCAGAAAAGAAATCATAGGTTAAGGGGTTAATGCACGTTAGCCAACATACAAAATAATTGTTTCTGTTAACAAAACTGTACGAATCTCTACTAAATTGTTTAAATACGTCATTAATTAGACACTCCCGGTAAATATTCATGGATCGATACAATTTTTAAACTTACCTTCTCTCAATATAATCTAAATTTTTCACATCGAGATAGACTCGCCCACTTTTTTACATCTTCGAAATTTATTACAATATGTCTACTAGGTTAAACATTGCTATAATAACGCTGTCAATAAGAAAAAGTCTCTTTAGACATGTTTGACTATAACTTCGGTCCGTTGCCCATTTTTGACGACACTTTTTTTCATAAAATATCACAAATGGGCACTTGCCCGCGGAGGCGCAGCTTGTTGCCCGCCGGGCAGTTTTCGCCCTGGGAAGCCCCCTCACTGCCCGTGCGGGCAACGACAGAACAGCGCTACTGTAAACGACCAATTCGACCCTCGAACGATCAAGCACGCGGGATTTTCAAAGCAAACGCAAATGAATGGACGCATCGCCGCAGAATCGCCAGGGTGTTACCGAGGATCGTAGAAAAAGCAGCTAATTACGCGGATAGAGCTCATCTCAGCGTGGTGCAGCTGATGAATTAAAGGCTGTATTGATTACGGTATTATAAGTCGCCGCGGGATCGTTCGAAAGGAGAGCGAGATACATACCAGTTGGAACATCTCCAGATCTCGAGCATCTAGGATTACTTTCCCTGGCGATGAAGAAAACGAGCGAGCGTGGATGCGTTTTTCTCGCAGCAGCCACCGTATAATTACAGCGTGTACAGCCCGCGAAAATTTGCTGCTTCCTGCGAGAGATCCTCTCTGCCTTCATAAATTCACCGAACCATGCTGCGCCTTTATTGCGCTACCGACAGCCTGATTTCTTTTTCTCTCTTTCTCTCGCGAACAGAGCTACGAGATATCGCAACTTCTCTCTACTCGAACGAAAACGACACCGCTGCTGCTTTGCTGCTCTTCTGTTATTACGTCTCGATGCTGTTTTACCGAGGCTCTTCCACTGGCTACCGCTCTAACTGCGTTCAACCGACAATTACTTTCGAATAAACGCTTGTTTAACCGGTGCACGATCAGTATCTTTACTTTTCAAACACTTCCTTCGGAATGGAGGATGAGGAGGCGAGTTGAGTGACGTTCGAACGTCTCTTCCGCTGTCTTTGTTGCGGTGAAACGATGCTCGAGGAATGGGTTATTGGATATTCGGGGATGCATAGTGGTTACTTTGCGTAAGAATTTTTGTACGAAGCTCGTGAAGATTTTTCAGGTTTTTTTGTGATGGAATGGTGCATTTTTCTAGTAGCGCTGTATTAGGTCATCCTGAAAGTTCCCGCGCATTTTTATTGAAAATTATTTTCATAATATAACTCCGTAAATTTTCAATATAAATTCTTCTAAAAATTCTGAGAACTACTTCGAACATACTTAAATATATATACAGAACGCCATTTATGTTCGGCCTACAGTTTCTGTTAAATAAATTCGCAAATATCTCGTGTTAAAAATGGTCGTTCAAACTGAAGATGCTTCCTTAATCGTTCCGTATTAATTTCTAACAGAAATGTGTGACACTGTGTCTCGACATTCCTACAAATAACAAATTAGTCTCCCAAAAAGCAAAATGCCAGAAATCCATCAAAGAAAGTGTAAAAAAAATACTGTTTTCAAATTGAAAAAGAAGAGAAGAAGCGAATAGCGATCGTAAGAAAACGAATTTCATCGAGAATCAAGCAACGCCGGCATTACTCGCAAATTTTCACCGATATAAAAAGTATCCTAATTCATCCCGATTTCTTCGTAATGCAATTTCAAAAAACCGCAAATGACCCGCAGAGGCTGGGGAATAAAAGTGAAAGTGTCGCAGGATGAAATAACGTCAACGATGTCCTCTCACCTTTCACCATTCGCGTACAGAGATGTATTGTACGTAGTATCATCGATAAAATTCATATCGGATGAAAATCGATGCAACAGCTGTTTTTCGGTGCCATGTAAAAGCGAGAGAGGGTCGTGAAATGTGAGGAAGTGGAGTCTCGAAACCGTGTCGTAAATTTCCTTGGCACGGTTCCGTTACCTTGAAAATGTACCTTAATTGAAAAGACGTATTCTCGTTCTCGCCGCGCGATTGGCATCTCGCGATTTAATTGCACGCTCGAGGCTTCTCGGTGCGATTCCATTGCACCACGCGGCTATTGAACACCGACAAAATTCGTATTGAATTTTTTTTTTTTTTTTGGTTCAATTGATTTTTTTTTTTTTTTTGGTTCAATTGATTTTTTTTTATTTTTTGAAATGTTAAATATCGTTCTAAAATGACATACAGACGTCTGAACGAGGTCCAGAGTTACAAATCGAGATTTCTTTAACCCTTTCGTTGCTATTGGCGCTTATAGGCGCCAAACTGTGAAAATTTGAAAATTTTGAAAATTTGCTTGCGCACATGTTGCAGCCTTGCGACACACTTCCGTCTTAATTTAATATTTAATTCGACCCTTTACACACGTCCATCTTAATTTAATAAACGGAATTTAAAAACGAAAGTTACGGAAAATGTGAAGTACGTCGATAACAACGAATTCTACACCCGTGGTTAAAAATGTAGTCTGCCACACACGTTACGTATTAAAATTCGTCGTGAAACAGTGAAAGGGTTCAAGTTTTTTTTTTCAACAAACGTTGTTTCAATTTTTCACACGATATTCGCAGCTGACTGAAATTTCGCAAATTTCTCGTGCACAGGCTTTTTCATCGAGCCACGAGACATAAAATGAAGCGCAGACCCTAAGGTTTAACCTAAGGCTCGAACAATGAATTCCCCTTTTATTTCGGCTGGCTCTCCCTTTCTCTTTTTTTTTTTGTCTGCTTGCCTTACCAACTTCTGCAGGGTCAGGTCCTTCCGGTCTTCGTAGTATCTACACACCTGGACGAATTCCAGGGCTCCTCCTTTAGAGTCAACCTTCCAGACTTTTCTTCTCTCGTGAAAGAGAGCCTGAAAGGTCCTCACCTTTTGTCGTTCTATCATTGTTCTTCCCTGAATTCGATTTCACCAGACTTTCTATTTTCGTTTGCCTGCTAGAGAAGTGTCTCTTTGAACCGTTGCGTAAATTTTTATTTTTTTTTTTGTGCAGCGTTTGTTTTTCTGGTTTTTATTTATTTCGGTTTTCGTTTGGATAACTGGTTTTAGAGATGAGAGAAAGTACCGTAGGATAAGATGAATGGCACTTAGAAGCCAAAGTGACTAACTCTGCAAAGTACGGTTTATGAAATTTGTTTTATTTGGGAAAAATTAAGCAGCAAGCTCGGATGTCATTTTTTATGCTAAAAGTGAAAGAATATTGGAAAGTGGAGTTAATCATTTTGCCTCCTGAGTGGCTCGCTTCTTTGTGCATTACAAAATGCAGATTTAAAATTGAAAGTAACAGTTCTGGGTCACAAATATCTTCGTGATTTTCTGTGGAGAACGATGCATCCAAAATATACCATTCCACTTAAAACAAAATATTGCAGTTATATCTTTTATTGCGATATTTAAAATTTTAGTTTCAATGTTAGTACAAAATTTCGATTCAGATGCAGATAACTGTTTTGTAATGTATATTTTGCAAATTGAAAAATAAAATAAAATGAAAATAATTTGCAAAGAAATAAAAATCGTATGTCAAAATTTGAAGGATACTTTTAAAATAAAATAAAATTGTCGATAGAAAAACAAAACGAAACTTTGCCTCCTCCTGTATTTCTCTCACAAATCTACCACTTACAAAAAAAAAAAAAAAAAACGTTGAAGAGTAATATAATTTGAAATTATTAGAAATTTACTAAATTATTGCTAAATTTACTTTCTCTACGAACATAAACAGGTGTCCCAATATTTACGAACACTAGTGTATGTTACTAACGCGAGAATGTTTTCCGTACCACGATCCTAAACAGCGAATTGCTTTTCAGATGGAAACCGAGGTGCGGACGCTCAAGCAAGAGCTGGTTCGTACCCAGGAGGCCTTGAAGGTAGCCACAAAGAGATGCCGTGATCTGGTGAAAGAGCTGGACAATCGTACGGCGAGCCACGAGTCCGAGAAGAGTCTTCGAGATCAGCAGCTATCGCGAATTCTTCGTGCTCTGTTGGTGCTCGAGGCGAGGCTGAAGCAAGAGCAGAAATCGATCAGGCAGCTACTTTGCGAGAAGGACAATGTGATCAGGAACCAGCAACTTGAAATCGCGAGGCTCAGGCGTTTCACCAAGAATTACATCAAATGCAAACGAGACCAGACTCTTGGTAAACCGTCGATGAAAGTCGACACAACGACCAACATAGAGAATAGCGAGTTGCAAACATCTAACGTCGATGTAAGTTACTGCGAGAGAACTGCAGATTCTCAGTTTCATCGTGGAACAGAATTGTACAAGTTTGACATAAGTTGTAAGGCGTGAAACACAAGTTCTGTCCCTTGAAAAAGTAATCAATCGAATAAAGTTGAAACAGCTCTGTAAACAGAATTCTTTAACAAATTTCATTCGTCGAAAGAAAGAAAGAAAATGGAATATTTCTACTAATAAAATATCTCGAAAAATGTCTCTCAACCGAGAGCAAAATATTCCCATTGTCACCTGAAAGTCGATCAAAATTTTACTCCTCTCGATCTTATGTCATTCTTGAAATCTGCACAATTCGCTTCGCGTCGAACGGAAACCATTCCTTAACGAGCTCTCCGTTTCATTTTCCCGTTGCAGGCTAGCTCGAGGCACGACTGCAGCATTAGTAAAGACATTGAAAACCTGAAGTGCGAGATAATCACGAAACTGAATCCATCGGAGGTGCCTGTTGTTGTTCTGGACGACCTGGACAGAGGAGTGAAGAAAACGCATAGCTTTGCCGGCAGTGATATCTCGAAAACGAGTCTGACAAGCAGCGAGAACACCGATGTGTCGATTATTACGACCACTACGGAGGGCAGTCCGTCGTTGCTCAGTACAGAAGGTTTCTGCGAGGGTGAGAGTACAGACGTTTCACCTGGTTCCACCTTGAACAAGTCCAACAGATGTACACCGACAATGGTGACCGATAGCGAGAACGAGACTACGATGATCTACGACGACGACGACGACGACGACGACGACGAGATGATGATCGTGGAGAACGGTTGTAAATTGTCGAGAAGAAAGGCTGGAATTGGCAGGTCGAAGACGCAGAAGGCTGGTGGCAAAGAGACGGATGTGATCGAGACTACGAATATCGCGAGGACGGAAAGTAAAGACGACGGGATGGATTGTAATTTTGTGTCGGAGGACGAGGAGAAGGAGCAGGAACCTATTTACGTGAACGCCTGCAATGAGGCGAACTCGAGGAATCTCGAGCACACGGCAAATGTGGTTACGGAAATGCCGAAGATGAACGAGGATTATAGTAACAACAACAGTGGCGACAATACTGGGAATAATAATAACAGTGTGTAAGTATATAGGGATTTTGAAAGAAGATTCTTGAAAGATGTATGTAGAAGTGTATTTTAGTTGGAAAGATATTTTAGAAAACGTTGTATTTCATGTTTTAGAGGAGGAAAGACTGAAGTGTGTTTTTCCCAATAAGATTTCTTAATCGTCACTTCCCTGGATATGTCGTAGATTGTATTATTTCATTGAAAATAGAGGAAAGTGTGAAGGAAAAGTTAAATGGTATGTCAAGGATTACTGTGATGTCATTTCTATTTTTATAAATGCAATGAAATGTCTGTAAAGTGCTGTTGGTTACGTTCATAATAGAATAGTTGTATTCCCTTTTTAAATAAGATTCTCCTTTAAACTTATTTATAGGAGCTATAATTTATTTTGAACAATGTTCAAATATTTTACCATTGTATGATACTTTAAATGCAGTTATTACAAGTATCGTTTATTTTTTAAATGAAAAAAGAAAAATGCAGTTACAGTAACAAATATACTTTTCCTTCATCATTTTTTCCATTCGCACTAGAGGAAAGTGTGACTCGTATCTTCCACGTAATGTATTCCATAGAATAACATTATTTTTACAGTTAAAGCTGTTTTGCCTTAACTGGCAAACATAATACAAATACTTGAAAAAGTAACTTTCCTTCTACATAACTACCTTTATCAAAATGTTATTAATAATGAAATTGTAAGAACTTCGCTTACTTATAAAATAAAACTCAATTTGGAAATTTATATTTTTTTACAGACCTCTGAAAGTAGAAATGGAAGAGCAGAACGTAGAAGAGACCAGCGGGAACTGGTACAGCGATCCAGACGAGGACAAGATCAACGACGACGTCTTTAGACACAGCACGTACCGACCGAACAGCAACCATAATTCCGTTTTGGAGTGTGTCAATCAGATTCTCTTGCGAGACATGGAGGAAGAAGAAAGCATTCTTTCAGTCCCTAGAAGGTTTAAGCATCGAGGAAGAATCGTACGGTTTCAACCAGCCAAACTATCAGACATCGAATCAGTAGGGTCTGAAATGGAAAGAAAGAATTCCGAAGAAGGCATTATAGAGACAGAAACAGCCAGCAGCGAGTTTACCGATGTTCCCTCCAACAGTTTTGAGCCAACTGCTACTGAAGACGAGTTCGGCATGAGCCTCACTCAAAATGTTTCACCGTCAAACGTTACAAGCAAAATTACGAATCACGAGTCCAGCCTCGAGGAAGAATCAGAAGTATCGAAGGCTATTCCGATTATTATTATAGAACCAAAGGTCGAAGTAGAAGAAACGAGACACGCGACTTTCTCCCCTTCGCAAGTAACACAGAAGTCAAAGACGTCGGTGAACACGGGAAATCCACCTTTGAAGTTAGAACGAATCGAGGAAAAAACATGCCTGCAGATGTCTACGAAAGGACTGACTATAGCGAAGAATCTGGACTACGAGGACATCGAATCACTTCCAGAAATTATATCGCCACCACCGAAAACGCCACCAGCGTTGCCTCCTAAGCCACAGTTCAAGAACAACACGCTGATCCTGAAGAAGATACCTAGTCCCTCGTTCTTAATCGACGAGACTCGAAAGAAACAACAGCTTCTCGAGTCCAGCTCGTCTGAACATAGTAAGAAGATTTTCGGTTTTATATCTTCTCCTTTGAAATCTGCCGGGATTAACGTAACGTCTGCAAGAAGCTTAAACTTCGACGAAACTATTAACAAGGTAACAGGGAATAACGAAGAAGGAAGCTTCTGGAAAAACAGGTTTAACAACGTCCGCTCCTCTTTCCAAACGCGACAACAGAACCATGAAATTAGCGGGGAACAGAAGCGGAAAATTCCCAGGGTCACTAACATCGTTCGCCATTTTGAAGAGTTCAAAATCGGCGGTGAATCGGAGGATCAAACGAAAGAGCGCACGAAGACGAAAGAGAAACATATTCATTCGGAGTTCGATCAGGAATTCGACATCAGACAGAATTTCGAAGAGTTTAATCTAGACGAGTGCGATCTATCGGACGATCCGGATCGACCGGAAGGCGATGGATCGGAGAGGCTTGGCAATCTTGGGGCGATGGTCGGTCAGAATGAGAAAACTGCCGCAACCAAAGACAATAATAATGTTCCTCTTGCTGCAAGCAATTCAAGCAGCGGTTACGATCATTTCCTAGAAGCAACGGGTCTTAGCAATAAGTCCATACTGACACCCTCGAGGTTGCTGAGCAACCACAAGAGCATGCTGAAACCGAAAGACGTGAAGTATAAGAACAAGATCAAAGCGACCGCGGTAATGGAGAAACACGGCGTCTCCACGACGAATAATACTACACATGTCAGGCATTGGACCGGGCCGTTTGTCTGACGACTGGCTCAAGTTTTTCCAAAAAGTCTGTTCCGACAAGATGCATGTGACGAAGGAACGTAAATTGGAAAGCAAACTACAATCAATGACTATGACATGAATTAGTAAAAGTTCAAAGCGTGTTTCGAATACGTATTTTTTATAGTGTAAAATGTAATTCTGTAAATTTGATGTCCTCTTTTCTATCTTTTCAATATGATGCTTTTATCAGATTCTTTGTTACTAGGGAAATTGAGAAACGTAAGAGTTAATTTATTTATAGTAACCTCAATTTAAAGAATACTTCAATGTGTTGTATATTTTGATAAAGTATTTCTTACCTATTTATACCATCACTAATGAAATCGATGAAAATAATTGATAGTAATGTATGTTAGTTTAGCTTTTTCGCTGTGAAGTGCCGCGAGTAAGTTTGTTTATCGCGGGGATTAATGTTTTTATTGTGGGAACGTTTTTGTTCTGTTGTTTTCTACAGAAAATCTTAAAAGAAAAATTAATATGAAAATAATGATGCGTGTTTTCATTTCATTGTACTAAGTGAAATGAAACAAATAGACGAATTGATAATACAATATTATTTACATTTAAATTATTCTGTGGCTTTACATTAACCCATAATTATATTCGTGCTGCATAAGTCTTACTATCATAACATTACGATTATTAAATTTCTATCGATACTGCAAACAATTTATATTTAAACTTTATAGCATTTAAAAATTCGTATGCACGTAATTATGGGTTAATTATTTGTCAACATAAATCATGTAAAAGTGAAAAAATGCGTAATCTATAAAACCAGTAAAGATACTGAACCAATTATTATACTGAATATAGGTACTGTCAAAAATCATTTCAAGGATAAAAGTAAAACTGTACTTGTTTTTTTTTTTGTTGGTAATAAAATTAAAGATGACTTTATTGAAAGATTCTTGCGTTTGATTAAGAAATAGGAGTACACCAGTACATGTTAAATATTTATGACGATTTATAAACAACTAGAACATATAATACAATCATATATATAACTTCTACTATCTATAAAAATACAACGCAACTCTATAAAAATACAATGCTGGCTGTCACTGGTATCAAAATCTAAATAGGACACGGAAGAAAAAAATACTTCAGAAAATGGACAATATTTAAATTCGAACATTTCATCAGTAAATGTTTTCAAAGGATTCCATTTTCACGGATTAGTATGAATCACTCGTTCAGGCACTCTATTACACTTAGCTAGTGCTATATTATCAATACAAATGTATAGATATAGCTGAAAAATTGTATGAAGAATCACACAATTAGCTTGGCACAGTGGTTTCTTCAAGTTTCTCTTTCTGCACGAAAGTCGTAAAAGAACTGCAAAACATGGTAAAAGGTAAGAACATTAAATATATCAATATATTGCTAATATCCATTGAATATTTGTCTCACCTCCTTATCCAGGTCTTTCTGAGTCCAGACTTTAATCACAGGAAGTTTATTCTATAAATGATACAATTGTTAAAAATGAGTAAAATAAAACACAAAAGACAATATATTATCTTTGTAAAAATAACTTACTGTAGAAGAATCAGAATGAATACTAAGACGTGGATTAAGAACGAATGGGACTCCGTCCAAGTCGGAAGATCCTGGCAATGTACCATAAATCGATGTAGTTCCGACAATTGTTGATGTAGTAGGTGGTTGCGGAGCAGGTCGTGTTGGTTTAATTCTTGCGCTGGGACTTAGAATTTCATAATCTCTATCATTAGATTCCTCTACATCTTTTCCTCCACTCCCACTAATTTGTGGATAAATTCCGTTTGTTGGTTTTGGCGAAAACTTTGGTTTTGGTGGTCTTTCAGGGGGTACTCTATGGGGTGTTCCATTGGATGGATTTGGGGATGCATTTTGAAGTAAACTGTATATAAAATATTATGTATAATAATTTTTAAACATTGATATAAATACATATATCTCAATTTTTGTTTAAATGAAAATGATACTTACTCTATATTAACATATGATTGTGAGGTTGAATTCCCATTTACAATATCCACAGTTTTGTAGCAAACACAAACTCCATTGATGACACTAAAATAAAATTTAAACATAAAGAATAACTTAAGTTTTACAAGGTTTTACAAATTTACTGTTCTTTATACATACCCAGCAGCAATAAACCCATTTGGTGCCATTTTAGATGTATAAACCTTATTTGTAATCCTACTACATATGATAATATCAGTAACTGCTTTCGAGCATGATTCCTTATTTCTAATTTTATAGCACAACTGTTTCTTCCTCCATGCCTTCTGTTCTAAAATCCATTACTGCAATGTACTAAACGAAAAATCTTTCCTGATATATAAGATTTTGATCAGTCTTACGTATGCTCACTTGAATCTACAGTATAAGCAATTAGGCTGTATCCTTCTGGTGGACTCTCTCGTTCATTAATGACTACTATATCTTCAACCACATGAGGTAACCCTTCAGTCTTTGAAAAACATATGTACCTGCCTTTCTTTTTAATAAAAAGTCCACTTTCTCTCCATAAATCAGCATCAGTATCTTGATCATATGTTCTTGACACCTAATGGTAATATAATATCAAATAATTCCAATGTATAATTTTAATAATAAGTATTATTAAAAACAATGGTACAAGCATCAAATAAAATATGTTAAAAATTTATAAAAATTGTTACTTACCACTGTAAAATTTGGTGGACATTTATCTATGTCTTCAACAACTCTTATGGCTGTAATGGGCCTGTCATCAGGCAATACAGATGACAATTGATGAACTAACATTTTGTTGCAATTGGTCTTTTTAGACATTGTTGCAACCCTATTAAAAATATATTTATAACTTCTCTTATTCACAAGCTAATATATATAAGTTATCATTTCATAGATAAGACATTTATTGCAAAAACTCTTCTGAATAGATGAGACTTTGAGTACAATACCAAACAATGCTTTCAATTTTACGATTAACACAAAACATTACACAATTAACATATTCTAATCACTAATTACACAACAAAAAACACTTTACTGACATAAAGCACTCTTCCACCAAAGTTCATTATACTTTGATTAATTAGAAGTGCGTGGAATGTATGTAACTATAGGCTTCCCCTACTTTATCTCGATGACCTATTTTCGATCGATAAAAAAATTTACGGCACACTGAAAATTGTTTCCACTAAGCATTTTTTAACTGATAAGAATTTCGTTCATGACGGTTTCGAAACAATGAAAGTGAATTAATTAACGAACGACATGCTATTTGGTATGATTAATTTAAAAAGTATTCAAGACAAAAAAAAAAGTATTGCATTTAACATTCATCAACAATCAATGACATTTGTGCACTTTTAAATTTGCTTACCTTTGTAAATATTGCGCGATACAATTTACGAACACTGCATATTTACTACTGCACTTATCGTCGTACTTTTAATTAATCAGTTAATTAATCACAACGAAAGAACACGGTAATTTTCGATCGAGTCACGATTGACTCGCTCTTCCTTTGACACGCAATCGTATTCTTCAGAAAACTCATTCGTAACACAGAGAAGATACTTCAGTACATGTGAATAAACATAGAAGCGGCAAAGAATTGACTGAAGAGAGAAAGAGAATAGGAGAACTAAGAAAGAGAAAAGTAGCTATCGAGAAAAAGATAAACGCACCTATATATAAATTATCAATTGTTTCATCGCAAGTAAGTAGTGTAACATTCATGCACATTTAAGTAATATTAAAAAAAAAAACTCGATAAGATAAGTACTGATGCTCACAAACACTGTTATTCATGAGAATAATTTTCTTTCTCTGCCCCTTCGTTGAATGTTTAACTAAATTGATATCAATGACATCACTTCTACCACTACCACAACCATAATGACTATCATCTTAACTGACTAGGGTAGTTGTGTTCAATAAGCTAACCTCTGTTTCCGTTCCTTTCACGCCGTCAAACTTTACGGCGTTTTTCTTCGTCCTCTCTATGCGATTCGCTTTTGCCGGATGTTCGCTTGATCGTACACGTCGTAGCAGATTTAAATTGAGTTAGTTCGTTTTCCAAGCGATAAGAAAATGGATGAGAATCATGCGCCACCCCTTCATCAGCATTCTTATTATAAACAATATTTGTGGAAAATTTTCAACACAATTTAAATGTACAACGTCGTAACACTTTCCTCCATCGTGGCCATGACACTCAGCTTTAGTACCGAAATTAAAGAAATGGTATAGCGTTTTGTTTGTATTGTCAATGTTTTTACATAAAATCCACCATGACTGAAAGTTATTTTACCATTACTATAAATATTTTATGTTTAATGATATTATTTATTCATCAAATTTATTTCATAAATACTTTTAATTTCTAAATATTGGAAGATCCAGATGGCGCTGTTATGTATGCACCCAGAAGTGCAGCATGCGACGCAAAAATTTTTATTTCAGTTTTAACATCGAGGGGTGTCGAGTCGACTTGGGCTTTTGGTAGAAATTCGCTATGAAATAACGGTATAATGTAAATCGTTATATTACGCAAATCAACTATTCTTCTACAGGTAACACAATATTTTAACTACTATAAAAATATTTGTTAAAAATACATTGTAACCTTGGTAACTTGAATCTCAAAGGAAGAATTAAAATCATCGAATTATGCAGGTTTTTTTTCGAATTATGTAAATTTTCGAATAAGAGAGGTTTAGCGAACGAAAATTCGACTTACAAAGGCTTTGTACAAGGGTTAGTATTTAGAGATCAGAAATTAATTGCGTACGTATTTATTGCAAATTTATACTTACACATATAATATGTACATATAAACATAAAGAAAAGATAAATTTTAAATAAAAAATAAATTACAGTTTGCTAGTCAGTAATTTGAGTTATAAGTCATTGGTTCATTAATATTTACAACACAATAATTTATTTATTTATTGTGCTGTTATGTCTGTATTAAACATAAAAGACATTATACTCACATTTACAAGTACCAAAATGAAGTAACTAGTTATAATTTTTACACATTTTTAATTATAAACTAGAGAGATTCAATTTCTGTATGAGAGGTCAATCCAGTTAACAGATTAGCTATGGTGATGATATAGGCTATTGCAAATATAAAATGTACAATATTAGGGTGTTACATTTCAATACTACATGAAATAATTTCTTTGCAATTGGATATGGCTAAGAGTTTTACTATGGGATACACAGTGTGTATATTGCATAGAGTATTACTATAAAATTATCTAAGTGTGATTCAAATATTGAAAGAAATAAATATGGATATATTACAAAGCATTGTTGATGATTTACATGGATATGACACCAAGTATTGCTGATGATTTATATGGATATGATACTAAGTATTCCTAATAATATATATGGATAGTATTGATCAAGTATTGCAAAATAATTACATATAGTTGTTAGAAAATATCATCAATACATATTATGGATATGATAAAGAGTATTTAAAATAGGGTACATATAGTGTTAGGGTATTATTTTTTAGTACTACATGAAATAATTATTTGTATGTGGATACACCTTTGAGTATTACAGTGACAAAAACAATGTGTATATCTCACAGAGTATTGCTTCAAAATTACAAAGGTATGATTCAAATATTGCAAAGAAAGGATATGGATATGTTAGAAAGTATTGCTGATGATTTACATGGATATGACACCAAGTATTGCTGATGATTTATATGGATATGACACTAAGTATTCCTAATACTTTATATAGATATGACATCAAGTATTGCAAAATAATTACAGTTGCTAGAAAATATCACCAATGCATATTATGGATATGATACAAAGTATTGCAAATATGAAATGTATAGTCTTAGGATAGTATTTTGTTAGTACTATATGAAATAATTCTTTTGCATGTGGATTACAGTGGTAAAACAATATATATATCTCACAGAGTATTGCTTCAAAATTACAAAGATATGATTCAAATATTGCAAGGAAAGGATATGGATACGTTAGAAAGTATTGCTAATAATTTATATGGATATGACATCAAGTATTGCAGAATAATTACAGTTGTTAAAAACACCCTGTATATTATAAACAAAATCACGTGTAAAATTTTTCACAATTGAAAGTTTACCGTTTGACCGTAAATTAATATTAATTTTTTTTTTATGTAGTTTAGAAATATAATTCTGAGTAGTACAGCGTTGTAAACTATTTTCCTAAAAGTGTTTAATACTTAACTCAAACCAAAACCGATACCTGAATGTCTGAAATCTAATTATAACGGTTAATACAGTAAATTTTAAAGAAACATTTTATTCCCTTTGTATTTTGTATTCCATTTTGTATTCGCTTCCACTGCCATCTTGTTGCTATGCAATCCCCACTCCTTCCAATTTTAACGAATCCATGAACGCGACTATGCAGTACGCCAATACAAGGGTGTAACTTTTTCGCGTATATTATTAGTTCGTTGGTGTGCCCTTCGAATGTGCGCAGAATTTCTTTGTTCATGGATAATTTGGTAGTTTTATTACGGGTGCAATTTTTTATAATTTTATTTGATATGTGTGAACTTTAATTATTGTAATTTTTCTATATAATAATAAGGTACTCTTTATATATCGTTATACTTACATTTTAATTCAAGTTATTCTTAACCTTAAAGAAGTTTTACAGGTTCATTTTCATGCATGCACAACTTTTCTACTGTGTATCGCAGAAATGAAACACGACGATTCAAGTTATTCGAAAGGCGATGAGAAAGGGAGATCACGCACTGAAGATCATGAAAAGGCGGGTTTTTATCCAAAAACTGAGGAAGAACGTCGACGACAACGTAGACGTGAATGGAGCATACAACAAGAACGACTACGACAACATGAGAGGTTGAGAAGGAAGAAGATTTTAGAATTTGAAATACGTTATGCTCGTTCGAAAGGTTTACTTCATCCCAGAGGAAGATGTTTTCATTATAGTTGTAGCAAGAGTAAAAGCAAGTCTCCAGACAATCATCATAGAAGAACTTCTGAACCAAATGCGCCTAAAACATCCATAATGTCTGAAAAGTAAGCATAAATTATTTAAAATACTTTTATTGAAGCTGTTTTAAATTTAAATGAGAATTAAACTTACAGAATTATGTAGGATTATGTAGACAATGGTACTTGATTGTAATATTATTTTTATACTTATTTGTGTCCTATTGAAAAGTATAATTTTACTGTTAATTTATAAGAAAAATTGAAATTTTATTGATTTAAATTGGTATTGCAGATTAGAACCATCAGATGGTACAATACCTTTATTTAAGGGCCCAGAAGGTACACAGGTTAATGCTACAGAACTACGAAGAATCAAAGTAGATATTCATAGAAATATTCCTGGAAAAACAGTGGCTGGTGAACTTCGACGAGACATTGTCAATCCTGAAGATGTAGTGCTCAAAAGAAGAGCGGGTAAAGTGATACTTTTTACTACAATTATCTAACAACTTTCAGTCTTTCAATGAAGAAGTATCTAAGTTGGATATGAACTCAACATGGAAGATCTGAAGATTTTCATAAACCCCACTGTCTACAAATTCAAGTTTCAAAAAATTGTATGCTTTGTAATGTAAAGCTGGGAACTTTATATTAAATGACAACATCAGAAGAATGACAACATTCTGAAGAATGACAAGATTCTACAGACAAGAAGATGATTGATTTTACCATCATATTATACCTTCTGTAACATTCAACAATTTACTCAACTTAGTTCATGAAGTTAATAATGTGTTCTTATTTCATCAAGGATAAAGAATGTTTGGAATACAACGTTGGAGTGCAGTATTGATCACAATGTGCAATACGTAAGCACATTTTTTGTCTTAAATGCTTTAAGAGTGCTTATATCTTTTGCTTGCTGCTTTATTTACTTTTCTTTTTAGTGAGTTTGCACAAAGAATTATGCTTTTAAAATATTTAAAAAAATAAGATTGTTTTTGAAAAACTAATTTCTAATGAAATGCCATACATTTTTTTCTTGAATATTTTGTGCATTCTCCTTATGCTTTGTTTTTGGATTGTTTGCATGCATAAAAATGCAAAAATTTTAATGCTTTATTTATTGAAAAAGAATTAACTGGAAGATTTCAATTACTGTGGTACATTATATTATATTTTGCAATTTCAACAATGGAAGAGGTACAATGAAACAGTAACTTCTACAGTGGAAGACTTTGTATGCAAAACTCAATATTAAAGTTTGTAACTCTACACCGGAAGAATAAAAATTATGTATTAAATTTTAGAATATTGAAGTAGATAGTCAAAATTAAGTATGAAATGTTAGAATTCTATATTGGGTTAAGCATAGTGGTCATTTCAATTAACTCTATATAAGTTTAACCTCAAATAAAAAATATGTATATTATTAAATGTTAGAGAATTAAATTAAATTGAAATAGAATTTTTTTTTATAAAATGTCCATCAATCAATTGATTAGATAAAATATATTAATTAATTGAATACAAAATGTTTAACTCAAAAGTGGGGTAGCAAACTATGAAGTTATGCATCAATGAAGATGAAGATTTTTAAATCACTCTGGAAGATACAAAACATCTCTGAAGAGCCTTAAGCAAATGACTTTTTTACATAAAAATCAGTTCAATTGTATTGTACTCTTTTAAAACAGATTATAATACTTTTATAGTTTTGACTAAATTTATAACAAGAAAAAAAATCAAATTTTCAGTAATTTGAATAATATAATTTTTACAAACAATTTTATAAGTATCATAACTGGCACTCAATAAAGTTCTAAGCCTTTTACTCTGAACCACACATTTATTGTGGAAAATGATTTCTATTTATAAAAATGAAAATGTACATACATTTTTCTTTTCTCCATGCATAGACAAATATTAGTAGTCAAATGATGTAACCTATGTTTTTAATACGAAATATATATTTTTCAAATCTCTTTTGAATTCTAATATGAATTTATTAATATAAAACGATATTAAGAATAATTATATTTCTATCTACTTCATTGTGTCCTTTTACAATTTTTATTAATTTGATACATTTATAACAAAATGATCTGACTTACAATTGTTCAGAGGTAGCCAGTTTATTTATCTACACACTTTAATATTTCTAAGGTCTGTTATAGCTGGTAGTGCCACATAATTGCTTCTTTCATATTCATCTACTTTAAGTTTTTCTTTTATAAATAATTTTACTTAAATATAGGAGAGGGATGCAAACCTATATTTGAAAGAGAAGAAATAAATGGTGGAGCAAATACAACAGAAGAAATTGTGGAACATCGTACAATTATGACTGTAAATAATGAAAATTTAGGTACATATATTATTTACAATTTTTCTTTTTGCTACTGAATGTATATTCTGTGTCTAATACTGTACATGAAAATATTATTTAAATTAATGAGATATTATGTTTTTTTATTATACTGATTACTTTGTCATTTCATAAATATTAATTTTATTCTTAAAATCCAATATGCTTATAATTTTTAGAGAACACATCGAAAACGGCTAAAAAATATACAGGCTCTTCAAGCTCTGTAAGAAGTTCAAGTCACAGTCCTCGACGCATATCATCTCGTCATTCCAGGTTTGTGTGGTTAATGGTTGTAGACGTCTGCAACATAACAAAACCATTACAATTAGTGTTAAGTAATTACCATTTTAAGTTTTATTTATAAGATTACATCTATGAGATATGATTTTACAATATAATATGGATATGATTATTAGTATACAGTTAATTTATGAAGGAAAAGGTTTCTTATTTTGCAAACAATATTTTCGTTCATAAATTACATTTTGTATACAAAAATTACATTGAGTATTGCTACTGCATTTATATAAACATTAGGTGCATTTTTATTGCTTCATACTAGCAGGGTCAAATTTTATTGTGATAGGCAATTACATGTTTTATTGTTAATTGCATAATGTTGTAAGTACATTTGTATTTAACAATTAGCAAATATACGTTTATAAATCTTTCATTATTAATATGTAAAATAAGAAAATGTACAGAATGTAAAATATTAAAGGTTTTAATTTAAAACACATTTAGGTTCATAGTAAACATACATTTTCATGTGTGTGTTTTTTATTTTAGGCATGTGTTGCTTTGTGTTACTACAGTTTGTTTTGTTTTAGCTTTACTAATGCTTCACAAGGAGAAAAGAAGACACAGAAAATGGGACAAGGATATGATTTTTATTATATCTGACTGTATGCATATGTCAATACTAGTGCTTATGCTTTTTTTTTTTTCCTGTGCGCATGTATCACTCAAGGAAAATGCAAAGATACAACAAAATACTCTTACATATATGAGTAAATAGTGAATTAAACTCAATTTAAAAGTAGTATTTTTGAATGATATGGACAATATTACTATTTATATTTATATTACTTGAGTTAAAATATTCTATAATTGAGTCTATCAAGTCCATTCCAACAAAGTACAATAAAAACAGAAAAAATTAGAATGTAAATTTACAGTCTTTAAAAATAATTTTTGACAAAAAAAAAAGCAAGGCATATTTTTTGTCATGTTCATAGAATTTTGTACAAAAAAAGGTTTTTTTTTTAATTCAGGTAAAATTGATGTTAATTGTTAATTGAGGTGAGTAATTTGTAGTTTTAAAACTAAATTTATAGTTTTATACTGTTTATTTGTAATATATATTATTCTTTACTTTGCATAATCCTAACAGTTTTATGAAATTACACAAGTTAGATTGATCACCAGCTTTTTTTCATAACGTATTTTGCACTATACACCAATTACAAAATTGTTTCACTCGCTTTTCTCAACTTTTAAATGTCTTCTGGTAGAAACATTTAGTACATGTTTTTTAATTTGTAGTAAAGTATAAGTGCAAGTATATTCAATGTAAAAATTAGAAAGAAGGACAAAATTAATATTTCAAAGCATACAGAAAATGGTTTTCATTGATACAAATTAACAAATAATTTTTAATACACTACAGTATTACAGTTACAAGCAATGATTACTATAATACATAAGTTATTTTATTACTGTGAGGAAAATATGCACGACTTAGTTTGTTACCATTAATTTTTATTATTTGGTAATATAAAGTAACAATTTTATTATATGGTAAAAAAAATTTGATTAATGGCTTAATAATTGGACTCACCATTTGATGGAATTTATGAATCAACATAACTAATATGGATATTGACTAATATGGATAAAAGTTCATAAAAATATGAACCTTACAGAGTATTGCGTTATATACATAGATTAAATTTTATATGTAATACAAAAATATGGTTAAAAACTAAGTTCTTTTTAATTAATTATTTTTCTTTAGGTGCACAGATCAGAAACATGGTAATGGAGAAAGTTATAGAACCGATAGGTATATATTATTTATTGTAATATCTTATATTTATGCAGTATATGTATATTTTTTTAATTTCGCTGTATCAAATTGTTATGTGATGTATTCAGGAAAAGAGGTCGCAGTGAAGATAGAAGTAGAAAGTACAGAGAAAGTTACAAGGAAAAGGGAAGACGACAACCTCACGACGTAAAAGAGCAACATTTGCGAGAAAGAAAAAGTCGTCGTGATTATTCACGTTCGAGGGAGAGAGATTTTCATCACAGGTACGTTGTAAAGTACGTGAAATATCACATTTCTTTAAAAGCAAATTATACAAATATCATCGAAAAAATAGATCGTTTAGTTATGACAAATCATACGGAAAGTATAGAGAAAGGCCAGGAGAGCGATCTCGAGATAGCTCTAGAGAACATAGACTACCACCCGCACACTATATCGAGCCAATTCCTGTTCCGATTTATTATGGAGTAAGTAATTAATGTTCGCACAAAATATTATAATCTTATGATGATATTAATTTTCATTTATTGATTATTAGAATTTTCCTCCGAGACCAATAATGGTTGGACCCTTGGTTCCAATTCGGGGACAGGTTCCTTTAGGTGGTAATAGACATCCTATGATGGGTCCATTGAGACCATTTCCACCAAGATTTATTTCTCCAGATATGTATAGATTGCGTGCACCCCCAAATCCTAGTATGTATATTTATAAATTTGTAGTGATGTATATGGTAGGACATTACACTAATTATTTATTTTCTGCACAGGATTTGGTCCAATATATTAATGAAACGATTTGTGGCAAAATCACGACGAGTAAGAAACTAGGGGAATTATTTTATGGTACAATACGTAAACGTATGGTACTTAACGCACTAAATATTAATCGACATTCTAGAAGAATTCAAAATTCTGATGAATATTATAAGGGGAAGGGGATGCATTATGCATAATTCAAGATACATTTTTTTAATGTATTAGCTATATAAGTAGCATACTATATTTTTTTAACTGCCTTGTTATATTATAGGAATCCTATATGTACTTGCCATGTTAAAGGTGTATGTAATCACTTGTTAGTGATTTTTTTAGGTTTTAATTACTATTTTAATGGATATGTGTATCTTATAGCTATATATAATGTTTCAATATAATTTTACAAAATTCGGTTAAAATGTTTTCTGTTTTATTATGTTTGTATGTAAAAATTTTTTAAGGGTGATAATGTACAAGAATTTTATAAATTGGCAGTTATGAAACACTAAATATATGAAATGTTTAGAACAAGCTTGGTAACTTCATTTTTTATGTTTACAATAGTAAAAGTATTTGAAATTAAATTAGTTAATAGGCTTCATGTAAATATGTGCCTAAATAAAATATATATGAACATATTTTTGGATCATATAGATGGATTTTGATTACATCACTCAACTAATTAAAAACGCTCATAGAAAGATGAATGCGTATGTCAAATTGTTTGCAGGATAATGTAATAAGTTTTCAGTCGACCATCTGCCACCGGTATGTGCGGGCTGTAAGTAGATGCGTCGTTCGTTTTATGGCGGAAGTATTCAAAAATTTAGTGCTCACAAATCGTAAAATTTACGTGAAATTAACAGATTGAAAAAACTATAAAATATGTATGAATTTATATATGAACCACCACTTATCATAATAAAGTTTTTGTATGTATTTCATACGTTTGTTTTCACCATTTTCTATTTCACCAATAACAGTGTAGATGTGTAGTGGATATCTAACGTGACACAAAATTGCAAAAGTTTTTAACCTTCAATTGTTTATTTAATTCAAATTTTTGGGGTTTCTGATGCAGACGCCTTGTTTCGCTATTTTTGAGAATTTCAATTAACACATTGTTCCAGCTTCAGTCGAGTATCTAAGTTAGTAGTCTACGTCTAAAAATCATTTCATAACTACAGCAGACTATCCGCACTTCGAAGTCATTTGCCAACGAAACCATTCCCCCTTGAATCCACTGCTACGGAGCATATATACCACTACCTTACCAACTGGAAATTCTTAAAGTGGGTGGTATAATCGCGAACCAGGGAGGGCTGCCCAAGGGCAAAGAAACATTCATCGTTCATCATATTATCGCCCACCTTTGACGATTACATATAAAATAAGGCTAGCAATACAATAAGATATCAGTATCAATCAATCAGTAACACATAAACATAACATTAATTCAAGCATCAAATCATTCAGAGTTGCGAACAATTACTAACATTATACATACGGGATACATTAGGCTTTCTTGTTTTCACAAATTCATAATTTCAATTAGCTCCGTCCATAGAGTATTATCGGATCGAGCAGCGGCGTATCGTGAATAATTAAGGTTTAAATATATTACGTTGCAACATAAGACTTGCCATGTTCCCGCAGCTCCGATTATTGTGAGTATTTTCTCTGATGCGAAGTAGTTAGTAAGTACTTACCTGTATATATCATCAAACGTGTTACTCAACATAGATCAAGGTGAAAGAGTCAGAATCGATTGTTTTTTTATTGTTTCTAGCGTGCGTTTTATACTACACACTGTGTTTTGTTTAAAAAGTTTGAAAGATTAATAATTCCTTTTGAGTTTGCATATGAAATCTAGAATTATGTCACGTATGTGCAATAATTCGAGAAATAATTATGTTGTGTATGATTTTAAAAAAAGGTAAATTATCACAGCATTGAAGTACTCTCGTTATTTTGTTTAATCTACAAATCTATCGATACTATCGGTATCGACATTATCTGTCGATTCATCAGTTTTTATGTGCACATGAAGAAACGCGATCGCGTGCTGTTAACACGCGTGCGCAAATACATTATTCTTTTTCCTTTTCTCTTTGTCTCTCCAACAGATACATTTTGCTTCATATCATTCTTTTCCGTTTTTCATATTTCAGCTTTTTCTTTCTTACTATAGTAGTATTCAATTTAAAAGAGAGGTAATAAAATAAGTTATCGACCGCTCTGTGGACTCACTTCACGTCATTATTCATGATATACACACATGTATGCTGCATTTCAACGTAGAATATTTTAATCTAACGAACCTTCCAAATGTTTCTTCTTTCAAAATAGTTTAATTTAATAAACTCTGTAACCATTTCTATCATTTCTATTTTGTGACTAACCATTTCAAAAGTGAAGGCAATGGCATTAATCAAAAAATATTTAGAAGGTCAACTTTATTGTCACATTAATTCATTATAAAATTAAAGTATACAATCGGTGTAAAGTAAGGTGTGAACAAATGATTAAATAAATTCGATTTTTACGTTCATTTAAGCAAATTGTAAACCAATGGAATTTGCCCTATAGTGTATGTGGTTATGCTACCAAATCACACATTGTGAACAAAACACTTGTCCTTAAGAAATAATAATAAACGCAAAGACAAAAGGAATGCTACTTTGTTTGAACTTTTGAACATTGGACATCGACTACCTTGTATAAATAATTAACAATATTCACAAGTTACCATATAAAGCATATTTTACCATAATTGTTGATGAACTTGTCCATTTGAACTTATTGTGTTAGTATTTATTTTCATTTTGTATAATGAAACGAGAAACGTTAACCTCCATTTCCTTTATTTACTTTGCAACGTAATACAAAAAAAAAAAAATTAATAAACGTGATTTTTTAAAATGAATTATTCTCTTTTAGATATGAACATCTGGAACGTGGTAATAAAGAAATGTATAGAACCAACAGGTATAAATTGTTTATTGCAATTTCATATATTTATGCAGTTTTTCAATTTCCCTCCTATAAATTCTTACGTAACATATTTAGAGAAAGAGATCGCAGTAAAGATAGAAGTAGAGAGTACAAAGAATGTTACGTAGAAAAGGGGCGACGACAGGCTGAACCTCGAGACGTAGAAGAGCAACATATACGAAAAAGAAAAAGTCGTTCTGGTCATCCACGTTCGAGGGAGAGAGAACAAAGGAAATGGGAGAGAGATTCTCATCACAGGTATATCGTAAAGTATATGAAATATTACATTTCTTCAAAAGTAAATTATACAAATATTGTCGAAAAAATAGATCGTTTAGTTATGACAAATCGTATCGAGAGTATAGAGAGAGGCCAAGAGAGCGATCTCGAGAAAGGAAAGAAAGAGATAGATCTAGAGAACGTAGACTACGACCCGCACCCTATATCGAACAAATTCCTGTTCCTATTTATTATGGAGTGAGTATTTAATGTTCGCATAAAATATTCTAATTTTATGATGACATTAATTTTCATTTATTGACTATCAGAATTTTGCTCCAGGACCAGTAATGGTCGGACCCTTGGTTCCAATTCGGGGACAGGTTCCTTTAGGTGGTAATAGACATCCTTCTATGATGGGTCCATTGAGACTATTTCCACCACGATTTATTTCTCCAGATATGTATAGATTGCCTCCACCCCTAAATCCTAGTATGTATATTTATAAATTTGTAACGTGTATGATATGTCATTATTATGACACTATTATTTATTTTTTGTACAGGATTTGGACCAAGGTATTCATAAAACGATTTTTGGCAAGTGTAAGTGTACAATACATATATGTATAATACTTAACGCACTAAATATTAGTCGACTTTTTGCAAAAATTAAATATTCGGATAAGTATTATAAAAGGATGTGCTTAATTTCAGATACATTTTATGAATGTATGAGTTATACAAATGTATACTTTTTAACTGAAATGTTACATTATAGGAATCCTATATGTACTTGTAATTTTAAAGGTGTATGATTTTTTTACGTTTCAATTACTATTTAAACTGTATTTAACGTTCAAAGATAATTTTGCAAAATTTGATTAAAATGTTTTATACTTTTTTTTTTATTTGCATTATCTCTAACACGTCGTGTGCTATCTGAGCAGTATATCATTGAATTTGATAGCGCAATGGCAGTTAGCAACAGGTAAGGATGTTTCTCTCCAGGAATAGTTAGAAGAATGCGTGTAACGAATTTCCCGCGTGATAGTGTTCTAAGTTGTCAGTCGACCACCAGCCACCGGTACGTGCGGATTGTAGAGGTTGCGTCGTACGTTCTATCGCGGAAGTATTCAAAGCTTTAGTGTTCACGAATTGTAAAATCCGTGAAATTAACACGTTGTAAAAATTATAAAATAGGTACGAGTTTATATATGAATCTCTTATCATAATAAAGATTTTATACGTACTTCAATTCGACACCCAGATTACTAGTTTTTCTTCTAAAATAATTTGAAATAACCGTTATTTATTAGTTTCATATTTATATGCAGAAATGATGAATGATCGAATTAATGAGTTAATTCATAAATTATTCATGAACAGACATAAAATTGTGACATTAACACATGTCAATTTAGTATAATTTACAAATACGAAGTATTAGTATAAAACTTACTTTTTGTATAACATTTGTTTTACTGTTTTACTAATTTATAGTTTAAAGATATTATCTTATGATGTTTAAAAATTTCGTGTATACTGAATTGTTTATTTAGTACACACTCCAGTTGTGAAAAAATTTGGTTATGTGATATAGGTTTTAATTTAATAGTTTGCGATTACTTGACATTTTTACGAAGTGTTTTATGAATACCCGTTCGTTTTTACCTTTTTCTATTGCACCAATGACATTGTAGATGTATGTAAGCAGACAACTAACTTGTCACGAGATTACAAAAGTTTTTAACCTTAAGCCTTTTGCCGTGTCCCTGTAGCTTTGATTGTATTTTATTTTCTTTGATGCGTAGTAACTGTCACTACCTGCATCTGCCATCGAACGTGTTTCTCAACGCAGATCAAGGCGAAAGAGTTAGAATTAATTATTTTTTTTTGTTTAACGTATACGTTTAACACCATTCACTGCTTTATGCTTAAAAAAATTTGAATAATCAAAAGATAAGGTTTGTTTAAACAAACTTGAATTTAAGTTATTTAATGTTGACATTTTAGTCTTAATAATGATTTTAACTTTACCAATTTCATTGTTCGTTTGTAATATAAAGATAGTCTTTTAAAAAGTAAATTAGAAATTGTTAGATTCCTGAAGGAAAGGTTAATAGTTACTTTCGAGTTTGCATATGAAATCTAGAATTATGTCACGTACATATGTGTAATAATTCGAGAAATAATTATGTTGAAAAAGGGTAAATTATCACAGAATTGAAGTGCTCTTTTTATTGTGTTTTATCTACAAATCTATCGATATTATAGGTATCGACATTATCTGTCGATTCATCGGTTTTTATGTGCACATGGAATCTAGAATTATGACGTATGTGCGCAGTAATTGAAGAATTGTATGCGCGTCGTATATGATTTTAAAAAAGGCGCAATTACTGTAACAGTGTAGTGCTATTTTGTTGTGTTTTATCTATAATTGTGGTTTCGGTATTTGTGTTTTATCTATGGTTGTGTTTTATCAAATTTATCGATATTATTGGTTTTTTTGTGTACATAGAGAAATGCAAACACGTGCCATCACGCGAACGCAAACGCATTATTCTGTTCTTTTTCTTTTCCCTTTCTCTCTTTCACAGATACAATTTTATTTTGCTTCGTATCATCCCTTCCAGTTTCTCATCTTTCACCTTTGAGCTTTTTCCTTCTCATTACCATTTCTGTCCTTTTTCTTTATTTCTGTTTATTGATTCTTTCAATCCTACGAAATTCCTAAGAATCTTCTTTGGACATTCTTCTAATAGGTTATGTGTAATTCGTTACAAAATATGTTGTCCTGTAATTGTGGTGTTACGAATACATACAAATCCTCGAATAAAAGTTTATTACCGAGTTTTCTGTTTCAAGCGAAATATCGATTAGAGTAGAAATACACGGTATTGTAACGATACTTAGTAATATTTAAATTAAAAAAAAGTATTTAATAATATAAGCTATCTACCTGCTCTGTGGACTGACCTCGTGTTATTATTCATGATATACGTGTATGCATTTTAACGTAGAATATTTCAATCATTAAAATCTTTTAAATTATTAAACTGTAATCATTTCTATTTTGTGACTATATTCATTTGAAAAGTGAAGATAGTACCATTAATTAAAAAATATTTAGAAGGTCCACTTTATTTTCACATTAACTTATTACAAAACAATAAAGTACACAATCGGTATAAAATAAGATGTGAATAAATGAATAAATAAATTTGATTTTTCCATTCATTTAAATGAGACACTTGGCAGACTGTCTGCGACTGTAACCTCAACCTACAATTTCAAGATTAAAAACAAGATTACTTTAACCATACAATACGCGTGTAATGTGTGCTGTATGTAAGTACTAATTTATTATGTTACAAGTTTTCGTACACTTACGTTTTTGGTTTTCCTTTGGAAAAAATGTAACATATACAGTTAATTGTATGTAGCATAGTACGTGATAAATAACAGATAAAATAATACAACGTATACAATTAACACTTGAGTTTTCAATAATTGCGAACTTTTTATATAAGTAACACATTCGATTCCAAGTAGGTCTCCACCTCCTTTTTATACGGTCAACGGTGATTATAAAATGTAGTTTAGACCAAATTTCAGTACAAAAGAATGTTTCGAAATAAATTTTTAGCATAATGGAAAAAAATCGTGTAATAATGTAACGTTATATTTATCACTTTTTGTGTAGAATGTTAATTATTAAGAAACTTTTAGGTTATATTCGGTGCTTCGAAATGTTTAATATACAACTGATATATTCAATTACGTCAAAGTTTTTTAATTCACCACGCGTTAAAAATAATTCAAAATTGAGTTCATTTAATACGATAAGGTGATGTGGAAGATGCAGAATGATATAATTACTCTATAAAATCACGCTCTGTGAATGAAGCACGTCTTATTAAAAAAATAACAATCGCAAATACAGAAAGAAATGCTACTTCCGTAGGAACTTTTGGACATTGACATCGATCAGTTTGCATAAATAATTATCAATATTCACAAGTTACAATTTACAGCGTATTTTAGCATAGCTCTCGATGAACTTGTCCAGTTGAACTTAGCGCGTTGTCGTATTATTGCAATCTGTATAACGAAGCGACAAATATTAACGTCCACTTATTATTCACTCTATATTTTGCAATGATACTTTCAACTGTTTTGGATGTGGGAAATGTTCCAGTGCTGAAGATCGACTCGTTGCGTGTTTTTCGAAACTATGGAGAGTACCATGACAGAATTCGAGGAAAGCGTGTCCTTCGATATCGATGACCCGGACTTTGCCCCGTCGAATCCTCGTACTATTGCTCGTAATGTCCTTCGTAGCGTACAATTCACCGACATCACCTTCGACGTCAATAAACGTGAGTACATTCACTTCTGGTACAGTTAACTATAGATAAATACATATATACAAGTAATAAGAAGCATATATGTAAGTGAATGAAAAATGAAAAAAAAATGTATCTTAAAATTTCTATTGTTTTGGAATATAATCAGGGCCGTGTTTATACTTTTCGAGGCCCTAGGCGCAACATCGTTACGATGTTACGAAAATAGATCAGTTGAAATTTAAATTAAACAAAATTAATTTAAATTTGTTATTTTTTTCCCTCTATTCTCTCTTATTTCTTCAAAAGTAGCCAGAAATTTACATTTTGGCATGTATGAAAGATGTCGTTTTATTGTCTAGGAAAAAACTCAGGCATCGTAAAAAGCGTGTTTGAGTGAACTCAACACGCGGTCAACGATTGTCAGCGTTGCTGAGCATCAGGTTCAAGGATTTTGACATGATTTCGCTCATATTTTGCACACGTTCGAATTATGCCGTTTATAATCGTATTCTAAAATTTTATTTTTATCCTATTTTTCGAATGAACCGCTTAAAAGCGCGGGAACTTTCAAAATATCCTAATAATTACGTGTCAGATCATAGAGAATAAAAGGTATCAACGGTACGTGCGTTGGTAGTCGTACGTGAAATTTTCCATGAAAATTCCAGCGTATCTTATAACCGGTGTTCGATGACATCAGTGAAGCAATAATGCGAAACAATCGATGACCATCGCAGTGTTTGATGCGTTTCCATTACGTCTGAAATTAATTAACGATGTATGATAAATGAAATATTGAAATGTTCCAGTGGAAAATTAAGTTAACTATGCTAATTTTGGATCATTGTAGATCGAACTATATTACAATCCTTATAAATCTTAATTAGAAATGAATAGCATTTAATTTTTAATTTTTAATCTTAATTAGAAATTAATGGTATTGCATATTTTGTTTCTAATTAACTAATTAAGTAAATTATTATGTTGCATCATTATTATAGTATATATATGTATATATGATTCAAGTCAATTTCATTAAACTTTGAACGAACAAAACTTCTGTTGAAAAAAACAATCACTTAACGATTAATTGCCAAGGATGAATCTTCATTATCAGTTATTCATATCGTACGGTATATTCCGCTCAAACACGGAAGGAGTGCGAAAATATATGCTGACCCTGAGAATTTCGTGAGCTCGAAACACGGATATTATACAGCCCGAAACCATATCATATTGCTAGCCGCCAGCTGACATTTTATCACATATGGTACGATCTTATTACGTTAGATGACCACATATCTTGTACTTATACTGACGTCATAGCGCATCGTTTTAATGACTCTTCTTTTTTTACCCAACACCTCGTTATATGAAAAAAGGTTTCGTATATTTCAAAATTTACATTTAAGGTTAGACATAAAAAGGTGCGAGGTTATGTAACGAGATATAATCGTTGTATTATTTCATATTTTCATATTTCATCGTTTCATACCTGTAGAATTGATCGACAATAATGTTTTTAGGAAAGCATTGTAATCTCGATAAAATTACGATTGGATATAAAGAAAGCTCGTTGAATTACGGTAGAAATTTCGTAATAAAATTTCTCAGTTTAGGTTGTGTTACTTTTCTGTCACTTTGTGTAATCCATTCCATTCGAAAAGTAATCTCAGAATTCCTAACTGCATCATTTAGAAGCTAGTTCAGCTCAAGGATACAGCACCTGGTGTAACAGTGTTTATATTATGTCGTAAATATGAGCGTTCTAATCGGCTACGGTATATTAGGGATCGAAAAAAATCGTAGTGCACAATAATACACGATCGTTCGATTCGCGAATACACGTGGAACGCATATGTAACAGCACGCTTATCTCGATCTACGAGTCTATTATTATGCGAGACGCGGCGCATGCACAGTCCATGTGGCGGGAACTCGATACACGGACAAAATTGGATCCACGTGAGTATCAGCTTTCTTCCTGAGAATCAGCTCTGTTGGTCAGTCGGTGTTCCGTTGTGCGCGCAGTCGATCGCACTCTGCGTTTAGCGCGTGCGCTAATCGCTTAGATAACAATTCCCCTTTGTTCAGCCTGCAGTTGATATCCCATTGCATCGTGTGTCTAGTGACAGTGACCTGTTACATGTCGGTATTTGATTTTCTTCTTACGTTGGAAATTGGCACTAATCCGTTCCACGAAAGATATAACGACTTTTTCTTCACCTGTGACCATGATTGATCTTGAGTGACTGTAATCGACGAATTCATCTTGATGTGGATTATACTTACGTGTATTAAAAAATATATAATTTCATACGAAAAAAGGTGGTGACATTGAAATGTCTTTGACCCTTTCACGTACAAAAAATTCAATTACACATTACATTTTAGAATTTTCTAATATTGAATTAAATAGCTTTTCATTTACTAGAAAATTTGTAAAAGTTTTTACTGAAGATCTTTTGTAATATTTTGTTCGAATGTTGGCGGTGAATATCAAATTTTTTATTATCTTCTGTCGCTATAGCAGCGTTCTTCATTATCAACGATTTTGTTGTCGTGAGAAATACTAGATGGAGTTAAAATACTATTGAATAAAGTGTGGCAGTTGTGTTAGTTTCTTGTTCATTTCTTTCATCTTTAAATTTTTTTAACTTTTTGTATTTCATATTTTTTATTTCTGATAAATTGTTTTCCTTTTAGAAACAATACAGTTTGTTTTCTTTAGAAGAAGCATAAGAGTATGTGGATACTTTATTTGCACATTCCCAGAAAAGTTTCATAAACGAATTTCAATACAAACTTTAAGGTAAAAAATAATAAAATTTATAGAAACATGGTATTTGTTGACTTTGTAGTTAGTATTTTCTTGATTTGATATTCTATTATTAAATAAACGAAAACATTCTTTCAATTTACACACCACAAGCGTGCCTTATTTAATTTTGAAATACGAGAAAAATATTGTTTCCCTCTTCTTAATATTATTTCAAAAACAAACTTGTAACAGATGTTAGTTATTTCACACAATAACCTATATTTCTTCATTGGATTACTCAAAAATTTATATAAATTTAGTGTTCTTCCTCTAAGTTCGAAATTTTAATCTTATAGTTTAAGGTTAGGGTATGCAAATTGAAGTCTGAGAGGAGCTGACTTTTTTACGAACTAGAAAGCTCAATTGATATTGAGTAATTTTTAGGTATACTTGATGGAGGAGCTATAGTGCTATTATCATTTATAATATAATGTGATAATTGTTAGTACAGCAGCAATAGGTTCACTAATTTACAATACACGGTCAGTAGGTATACATATTGTAAAGCTCTCTCTCTCTCTCTCTGAATAACCATACGTTATTGTGCAAACCCATCTGACTGGTAAATTTATAATAGTTAAGAAATTTTCCGCGATTGGGGGTCATGGAGTTTATCAAGACCCCCTGCATACAGCAACACGATCTTTGAACCTAGCTGCAATCCTCAGGCCATTCGTTTACGATAACGATAGTAGCATCTTCTTGGTTGCGAATAATTCTTACTTATTTCACTTATCAATAACGATAAAGGGTAATGTTCTATATAATCCCGTCTGTTATGTTTCTATTTAATTAGCACACCGCTATTTTAGTTCGTCTAGTTTAAGGAGACTTTCACTTTTAAACGGCCGAAAAGTAGTTGCTTTTTTGGGAAATTTTTGCAAGAAAACTACCAGAGCTATTGAAATGAAATTTGGAACGATTGTTACACGTACCTTACACTGTGCGTTAATTTTTTTTTTATGGTAAAATTTAGTATAGCTTTTACGTGACGTGTACCCTTGTTCGAAAAAAGGGGGTTTCCAGTGTGCAAGATTCCTCGGCTCTGGCATTGTATCTAAAACAAAAATGCCGCGACAGACCGATTATGTATTTATCAAGGTGGCGCATCCTCCGCTCTGATTGAAAAATACCAAAGGATAACAAAATGGCGGCCGGTCAAATTCACGTTTAGAGACCGAAAAATCGTTGTTTCTTGAACTCTTGAAAAATAGTAATTTTTAGAATTTTTCTTTAAACTTTAAACGTATTTTTCGAAGAAGTATTATTTTTTTAATACCCATACTAGAATTTTACTGGGATTCTAGTCAAATTCTCGTCGTTCGTAATGACGTCAATTTCTCGAATTTCTCGAAGTAGCCATAAAAAATGCGAAAAAAGCGAAAAATAGCGAAATATGTTCGCCATGATATCACAGCGATGTTCTTATTGGCGAACTACCGTTGGAATTGATTGAAACGCAGACAGAAATAATTGCGTTTTGATTAAGGAAGTTATGGCGCGAAACGTGGCGACCTTTAAACGGCTGGTTGCATTTACACAATTCTTTTTGCGGCTTCAAAGTCTGTAGAGATACTGGGACCTTTGTCGCAATTCAGTGTATCATTGTCAAGCTTCGTATCTGCCAGTATGGAACACTTTCGCGTTGAGAAAATGTGTATCTCTTGATTGATGGTCTTGGAGGATTATGTTTTCAAAAAGGATGAGGTACTTATGATATAACGCGGTCAGTTTTAGTATACCAGCAGTACTTGACTGTTGGTACAAACACGATACTAACAACGTTTTATTTTTCTTATCGAACAATAGTAGAAATATTAATTAACGATAATAAAATATGTATTAAAAAAATTTTTGGGCTTTTCTTTTTTTTGTTTTAAATGGATTTGTTCAGTTATTATCAGCGTGTTTTGTAGAATTGGTCGCAACTGTTCTTTCAGTCCTTAATTTTTCATTTATAAGCTGTTACTTCGACAAATTGATAAAAACTTCCAAATAATTCTCTGTTTCATTCAGTTATCACTCCTAATACACGTGATTCTCTAAAATCAATTCTGCAATTGTTCTCTTCTCGATTATGTATACATATACGTTGCGCAATGGACAAAATAAAAATAAATTAAAAACAGGGAAAAAAACTTAGGTATATCTTTACGACTACTTTACACATTGATATTTCTGAATTCGTCGCAATTAGAATTTCGACGTA